AATTGGATATGTAGAGTCTAGTGATACAATTGAATATATTGCCGTTTTCTGCCCTCTTTTTTGTGCTCTTTCTGTGAGAATCCAACGAGAACCCAATGTCTGCAATATCTGGATGAGCACCATTGCTCCCCATACACAGTGCAGATCACAATCCGCGCAATGGGATATATTGCCATGTGCGTGTTGCGCACCTTGTAACATTGGCAATGATTGCACTCTTTGCTAAATGGTCTATCCTAGATATAATTCAATGCAACACATCGTAATGATGACCACAATAATTGTGGACATTGTGAGCCTTGCGCACTTTATAATAGCCATCTATGATGTTATATCAATTCCCCGGATTCAGTGATGGAGGTGATTCGCCGCGGTAATGATCGATCCTGATGGGGATCCCACGCCGCCGCCAGCACCTTCCTCCACTGACACCCACTCCGCCACACCAAAGCCCGCGCCGCATCCCCATCCTACCGCTGCCGCCGCGCGCTCCTCCGCCGCCCACGCGCCCTCCTCCTCATCGCCGCAGGCGCCCTCACGCTCGTCGCGCTCACCGTCTTCCTCGGGCCGACGGTGTGCCTGCCCGTACCCGAGCGCTTCGCGGAGTACTACCACGGCCCGACGCCGCCCCTTCCCTCCTCCGACTCCTCCTCCGACGTGCACCCCCCGCCCTCCTCCCCGCCCGCGCCCGCCGCCGACTCGGACGCAGCCCTCACCGCGCTCCACGCCGCGCAGCCCCTCTCCCTCGCTGCCGCGCGCGCGCGCTACGCTCTCAAGACATCGCGCCCCCCGCCACGCGGCTTCGACGGCTTCTCCCGCGCGCCCGAACGACTTTCCCCACGAGCTTACGGCGAGCGGCAAAGAGACGCGCCGCAGGCTTCCCCTCCCTGCGAATTCCCGATGAGTGGCAAGGAGGCGCGCCGCAGGCATCCTCTTCTGGCGAGCTCACGGCGAGCCGTGAGGAGGCGTGCGCCGTAGGCAGCTCCTTCTCTGCGAGTTCCCGACGAGCGGCGTACCTGCCCCTCCCTCTTCCCTTCTCTTGCCCCGCTTCCGCTTATACCTCTAATGATTGATTTTAACGAATTTACTCCTAGTTCGCCGCCGCTCTCTCCCCACTCACGGTCCTCATCAACGGGCGCGACGAGCCGCGCGTCGTATTTGACGCGTTGCCTTTGTTCCGCGCTCCGATGCCCGCTGCTTCTATCTCTGCCTCCGACACTGAGGCGTACGTCAACGCGCCGCCGCCGCCTTCGCATTCCACCTCCGACAACTCCTCCCCGCCGTCGCAGAACGCCAACCCCAACTCGCAGGGAGGCACCGGCGGAAGTGGAAGCAGAAGCGGAGACGGGCAAAACCTAAACCTAACCCTCACAGACGCGACCCCCTTCGCGCGCGCGCCACCCTCGACCGCGGCCTTCTTCGCGCCGCGCGCTGTGGGCTCGCTGCGGGGGTGGGGGTTATGCGCGATGTGCCTTGTGAGTTGTCCTTTCTTTGACTTGGCTTTGTTTCTTTATGCTTCTCTCTGTGTCGCTTTCTCTCTGTTCATCTTTCTCTATCTCTTCTTTCTCGCGTTGGCGCGTTCCTTTCCTTCCTCCCCTTTTGCCTTTTCTCGCTTGTACGTGTATACCAACCCCCTCCTTTCCCCCTTTTATAGTCCTCCTCTCCGCCTCCTCCGCCGAGTTCACCACTGACCTCCTCCCCGTGCTCAGCATGGCCAAGCCCGCCGACGGCGCCGGGGTCGATACGCACTCCGGCACGGGGGTGGGCTAGGATCGACCGGGGCCGTGCGGGGGCGACGTGCTTCGTGGATGTTGTCGTGCCGGGGGAGGTGCGTTCTTCTGTTTTTTTTTTTTGGGGGGGTGAAGACGAATTGGATTGGATTGGAGGCGCTGACGCGATTGATTAGTTTTATTATAGGGACTCGTGGTGGGCGGGGAGGTTCAAGTACGCGGATAACATGGCGTGGGGGGATAAGAAGGGGGTGTTGTGTGCGTCTTGATTCCTTCTTCCTTCTTCTTCCTTCCCCCAAATCCCAATTTATCCTATACTCCATAACACGCGTGCTGACACGCCCGCAGACCGACGCGGCAAGTCCAACGGCTGGCACATCCGCGGGACGAACTACCGTTCCTTCCCGCGCTTCCGGCTGCTCGACCTCGCCGCACGCTCCGCGAATAGGGAGAGCGGATACTTTGATGTGGGGATGACGGGGTGGCATGAGGGGCATTGTACGGGTGCGTTCGCTGCAGCGCCGTGATGCCTCGCGTAGTGCGCTGTGACGCCTCGCTGTGATGCCTCGCTGTGAGGAAGAGCGGCGGGAGCCGGGGTGGATGTAAAGCAAATGAGATGAAGGACGCTGACGCGATAGCGACAGACGCCTGCGACGCGGAGCCGATCAAGGAGAGGTATAACATCATGGCGGAGATGGATATCGGGAGTACACGGTGCGTCGTCTTCCTTGGCTCTCGTTCCGTCCTTCCTCCCTCCTCCCCTCGTGCCATGCGGCGGTGGCGTGCCGCGTCGGGGCAGACGCGGCGGCGGCGCGTCGGAGAGGATGCGCTGGTGGCGCGATGGCGGGATCGCGCTGGCGTGCTCGCACTGCGACCCGCGCGAGGCCCGCACACTTCCTCCGCGTACATCGTCGTGGAACCGCCGCATTCGACGCCTGCGCGCCCTGCTTTGCCCTGCACATGATGCATATGGGCGCCCGCGTCTCAGAGCCCCGCGCGCTGCGTACGCGGTCTCGCTCCCGGGGTGCGCATCATCGCGCGCCGCCGAGCCCGTGCTCGCTCCCGCGCTGCGTTGTGCATATATATGCGTACCCGCGGCGCCTCTTTCCCTGCGTCCTACGCATCATTGCTCTTGTCCTTCTCTTACTCTTACACCCGCGGGACGCATTCCCCTTCGCATTCGCATTCGGCCCATTCACGTACTTCTTACATTTGTATGTACATGTACCACAGATCTGTGCATGCCCATTCCCCATGGCCCTCTTCCCCTTTCCTTCCGCGCGCGTGTCCGAGTCCCGTCCGAGTCCAATTCGATTGTGCGCGGCGCGAGGATGAATGTGTACTTGCGCGGCGGCGAGTCTTGCACGAGCGAGTTTTTCTTCAATTGGTTTTGTTCCTGTGTGTTATATTCGACTTCAGGAAGTTAATTCACGCGTCTCCAAGCCGTTTATTCAAGTCTGTACACGATTGAACATTTTCATGGCACGTCCTTATGCCTTCGCAGCCAGGCCATCATAAACCGGTATTTGATGGGTCCTAACGCTATTAAATCGCCCTAAATTCGTCAACAGTACGAGTCTGATTCCAGTACAAGTCATATATTTCACTGTGTCACTGCACACCTTCTACTGCATTCGCGGTACCGTGTGCTTCATATGCCACATTTTTTTTGCAAGCTGCAGCTGGCCACGAAGATAAATTCAATGTAAGCGAGTGTGTCAAAAGGGCGGCACTCAACTACTTACAAGTCGGCACACATTTGAACCATGTTATCGCGTACCACTGGAGGTCAATTAAAACTACTGCCCACGGTCTGAGTATACCTTGCATACACTCCTGACTCAGAGTTGCGCCATTGCAGTCCGGATCAGCGAGATGATACCACTCCCAAGCAAGTACAACATTCGATTCAGTCCAAATGACCCGACCGGAACCCAAGTCCGCCGTCGTCGCATCCCACCTGTTTCGAACTGATGATATCTGCACCTCAAATTGCGTCGCACTTCACGAGTAGTTTCAGGTAAGATTTCACTTGAGTTCGCCGCCCCGGCTTTCCCACCGCAAGTCAAGTTTCTGTTACCTCTGCCTTTTTCTCTGGGCTGCCTCAGTGTCTCGGCGATGAAGTCGGGTTGACAATTGGGCGGGGGGTTGGGCCTGGGCTCTGACTGAAACACGTTTTCCCTTCTCGCACACCCAAATCCATCCCATTTATTTTGGTTGAATTATAGGTAGTTGGTTATTGCAACGATGTTAAAAGGAATCAGTGGGCAGTGGGGTTTGAATTCCCAGAGGGCCGCCGAGGAGTAAACTTTTCCCTCTTCGTACATTCAAATCCATCCGTTTTAGTTTTATTTCGATCGCATTCTATGTAGGGCCCTCGTTGATCAAGGAGATCGCACACACCGATTGGGCAATCTTTGCAGCAGTAATTAGTGGACGGAGGGGGTTCGAATCCCCCCGAGGACCTAAGCGCGATCTGCTTCCTGTTTATCCATTTGGGATGCCTTCTGTAGGAAAAGCCCTCGTTGTTCAATCGAGATCACCTACCCGAAGTAGTTTATCAGTGGCCGCAGATTGCTGGTTAGCTTAGAACGAATCACTTCTCGCACCCAGTTTATTTTGGTTGAATCAAATGTAGAGGAGGCCCTCGTTGATCAAGGACATTACCCACGAGAAATAAGTAAGGTTTCTGAACTCAGTGGGTGTGGGGGCTCGATTCCCCTCGAAGGCATAAGAGAAGGTGCGTGGCGATGACTTTTTGGCTTCCTTCCCTCACCCAAATATGCTATACGCGTCACGTACATTCTAGGTAGGGAAAGCCTCGTTGATCAAGGGAGATCACCCATGTTTTATTGCAACGGAAAACGGAATCAGTGGGCAGAGGGGTTCGAATCCCCCCCGAGAGCCTAAGTGCGATCTGCTTCCTTTTATTCATTTGGCATGCCTTCTCGGTAGTGAAAGCCCTCGTTGTTCAATCGAGATCACTTACCCGAAGTAGTTTATCAGCGGCCGCAGATTGCTGATTAGCTTGGAACGAATCAATTCTCGCACCCTCAAATCTATCCAATTTATTTTGGTTGAATCACAAGTAGAGAAAGCCCTCGGTGATCATGGAGGTCACCCACGAGAAATAAGTGTAAGGTTTCGGATCTCAGTGGGGGGAGGGGGTTCGAATCCCCCCGAAGGCATGAGGCGCGTTGCGATAGCTTTTTGGCTTCCTTCCATCACCCAAATATGCTATGCGTGTCACGTACACTCTAGGTAGAGAAAGCCCTCGTTGATCAATGGAGATCACCCACGTTGACTGTTGCACCATTCACAACGGAATCAGTGGGCAGTGGGGGTTCGAATCCCCCCGGAGGCATAGTCTTGCTCCAATGTTTTTTCTCCCCTACATTAGTCATAATGGACAGTACCTCGAGTCCGCACTTTGAAGCTCGACAGACATGTGTAGGGGCTGCGAGCGTGTTCAATTTTACTCATAACTTATCTTCGCCTAGTCAGTGCAGAGGCAGCCCTCGCCGATCAATGGTGGGCGAACACTCACACACTCAAATCCATCCCATTTATTTTAGTCTCATTCTATGCAGAGAAAGCCCTCGTTGATCAATGGAGATCACCCACGTTGATTATTACACCGGTCGCACCGGAATCAGTGGGCAGTGGGGGTTCGACTCCCCCCGAAGACATAGTGAACTATCGCTTGTCCAATCTTTTTCCCCCCTACACTAATCATAATGGACAGTACCTCGATTGCGCACTTTGAAGCTCGCCGGATAGGTGTAAGGACCGCGGGCGTGTTCAATTCTGTTGTACCGACCTCTTTACTCGTGGCCTATCTTCCTCTGTTGAATTTAGCCAGGTCAGAATTGAGTAGGGGAAGCCCTCGTCGATGAATGGAGGTCGCCCACACTGATTGTGTATAATCTTTTCTTGTTAGAGTGAGCGGAGGGGGTTCAAATCCCCCCGAGGGCATAGTGAGGATAATGAACTTGATTTTTTCCTCTTCCACCCTTTCACAGATATGTGCTCTTAATTCAAGATATGAGTGAGGTAGGAAGCCCTCGTTGATCAATGGAGATCACCCACGTTGATTGTTACACCGATCACACCGGAATCAGTGGGCAGTGGGGGTTCAACTCCCCCGAAGGCATTGTCGGTCCCCGGCCTTTTGTTGCCCTACATACATCAATGGACAGCATATCGCACCTGAAGCTTGACGGATAGGTCTAGGGGCTGCGAGCGTGTTCAATTCTGTTTCTCGGCCATTTTACTGGTGACTTATCTTCCCCTAGTCAGGGCGGAAGAAGCCCTCGTTGATTCACACACTCAAATTCATCCCATTCATTCTAGTCGCATTCTAGGTAGGGAAAGCCCTCCTTGATCAATGGAGATCACCCAGACTCACTACATCATTTTGAACAAACGGGTACGGTGGGTAGAGGGGGTTCGAATCCCCCGGAGGGTGTGTCGGGCTCGATCTGTAACCCAATTTTTTTCTTTTGCGGACATGATTATTTGGTTCCGCTGGCGCCTAGAGACGAATTGAGCCTCGAATAAACAACGTTTTGAACAGTCTCCTACCCAGCCGCGGTTACGAGGTTCATCATTCTCAGTAGTGGGTTTTTAAGTGGATACAGAAAAATGGCTTACAAAAAATATACGACAACGCGTGTGATGTGACGAAATATGTGACTCAAGTTGGGGATGAACCTCTCCACGGCGGCTGGCACAAAACACTTGTCAGCAACATAGCCACAATTTTCTGAAATCCGAAAGAAAGACGTCAAGAGGTCTTCCTCATTCGAAATAAAATGATTTTAAAGCTCTAATCTCCTTATATACAGCTCCAAAGCTCCCATAAAAGATCTGGGGTCAAATATGCCGATAAGAACAGCTAGTACAGCAAAAACCCGTCGAAGTGTGGTTTTCTGTGAATAAGCTGGAATAGACTGGAAAGAAAAATGAGAGAAGCGGCACCAAGGCTTTCTAGGCTGATTCCAAGGGCTAAGAAACATCAGCGCATTTTTTGTGGTGCGAGGGAGAATAACATAGATTTTATGGCTGATTTCAAATAGCTGTGGCTATGTTGTTGACAAGTGTTTTGTGCCAGCCGCCGTGGAGAGGTTCATCCCCAACTTGAGTCACATATTCCGTCACATCACACGCGTTGTCATATATTTTTGTAAGCCATTTTTCTGTATCCGCTTAAAAACCCACTACTGAGACTGATGAACCTCGTAACCGCGGCTGGGTAGGAGACTGCGTTTTGAATGTGTTGCGTCGAGGCGAAGCGTGGCAACCGAACAACAACCCGAGCTTGGTGGCAGTGCAAGTCTTTTCTCCCCTGAGCTCGGCATAATTCAACCACAAACGCAGAAATGAAGGGACGAGAGGTGGAGGGGCTGCCAGCGACGCTTCATTCCCTTTGTAGAATGAAATTATGTAGTCAGAAACAGGCATTCGGATTTCGGATGAACCGGATGGTCGATGTCGGATCAATCGGCTGACATCTCTCGCTCTCAACCTCTCCAACGTTGCGAGTCGTTGCAGAACACGCCGCTGCGAGTCTGGATCTATCCGTTCTATCTACCCCGACCGTCCCCGCCTCCACCAGCTGCAGTGTGTTCCCCATGTCGACGCTGCTCCACCAATCCCAGGTACATCCAGCCCGACTACCTCCGCACCTCCCCCTCCGCCCTAGTCCCTCACGCCGGCACGCGCAGCCAGACTCGCTCCTCCACGTCGCCTCCTGCGACCTATACACATTGGCCACCTCACTATGTGCGCCTCGCCTTCATCCGGCGCTCCACCTCAAGGGCTAGCTCTACTGCGCGGCCTCGTGCAGCCTCTTCTACACCAACTCAAAGTACGCCAGCCACCTGCACGACGAAGGCCATCGTCGCTGCCACATATCCGCCGTGCCCAGCAACGGCCTCCACTCTCGATGCCACTCGACCGCCCGCTCTCCAATCCTCCGCGTACCTAGCGCGCCGAGGCACAAGTCCCGCGCGACGCGTGGACGGACTCTCGCGCCAGCACCTACACCAACACCCACCTCCTCGGCGTCTCGTGCGCCGCCCGCCCTTCCTGCCCACCAAGCGCGTCCGCTCGTCATACCCACCGTCCCCCCGCCCGCGCCTCGTCCCGTCCTCCTGTGCCCGACCGCGCGCTCACCATCGCGTTCGCGTCCTCACACTCACACATCACACTCCACCGGTCCCTGTCCCGCCCGCGCCGCATTTGTCCCCCGCACGAGGCGGATGTCAAGTCCTGCGCATTTCATTCTGCGTTCCGTGTAGACCCGTATGCGCGCCATTCCTTCGCAAGATCATCACTCGAGGCCCGCGCGCCGGGGCGGGGGTCGCAGCCGTGCGCCGTGCGCCGCGCACGGTCGACGTGGATGTACGGAGGAGGACGGCGCGCGGGTCTACTGGTGTGCGGGCGCGAGGCGGAGCAGGAGGAGGACGGGGCCTCGGATAAGAAGCGCGAGAACGGCAGGAGGGAGCGCGGGGCGCGGGACGCGATTATGACGACGCGGGCAGCAGCTCTTGCACGTGTCGTGGGTGTTCTTCCGTGCAGACCTGGGTCACTGCGCTCGTGAGGCGTGAGCGGCGGAGCCTCTGCGCAAGACAGGGGTATATGGCACGAGCGTGGGAGGGAAGGGGGGAGGAGGGATCGGAGGGCGGTGGGAGAAGGAGACCGGGAGGAGCGCGCGCGGCGGGCGGGAGGAGGGGGTGGGGAGGAGGCGAGGAGACGTGTAGACGGACTGCCGAGGGGCGCGACGGGGAGAGAGGGGATGCGATACACGAGCGGCGGGACGAGCGCGCGATGGGTGCGGCGCTCGCTCGAGCAGCAGCACCGCCAGTCGGAGAGGGGTGGGCAGCTCGATCGAGTATGAGCCGGAGGAGAGATGCGATACGCTACACCGCGCCACCGCGACGCGTTCGTCTGATCCCGCCCTCGAGCTACAGTGCGTTCCTCTCCTTTACCGGGTAATGGCCCCGCTGACGCAGACACGCTAGGACCGCGACTCGGACTCCCCGGCTCTAGTTCTTGCACGGCGCACACGCTCCTCGCCGACTTTCGACACCACTCCCCTGCGCTGATACCAGGCCGGCGCGAACACTCCACGCCGCCAGTCCCCGCTCCCCATGCCCGCTCTCCGAGCCACCGTACCCGTGCAACATGCAGCGCTACATGCATCACCCTCGAGCAGCGTCAGCACGAGTACTCCTCGTCCCCGCATGCTCGTCGTAGTCGTCCATCCGGCCGCTCCTCGTATTCACCCCCCGCCCCCGTTCCGTCCCGTGGCGCGCGCGCCCGTGCCTGCTCGCCGCTACTCGGGAGCGCATCTCTCCTTGGGCAGGCGGCGCCGGCGCGGGATGTGGATGCGATGGAGGGGCGAGCGCGAGCGCAAGAGCGGAAAGCGTATCGGTGCGGGAATGAAAGCAGCGGGCGCATGGGGCTACATTCTTGACGCCGGCGCGCGACGGCGGGATGGGAGGCGATGAGGGGCGGGCGGGAGGTAGGCGAGCGGGCGAAGACCGGGGTGTTGCTTGAGCGCGCGGCTTGATTGCGACGATCGGCGCAGTGCAGGTCGTAATTCCGATTCGCTCTGTCATTGACGGTGGTCGTGATGTGGTTATCCATGTGCGTGTCGACGAGCGGGCGCGGGTGCGGGATGGCGCTGTCCATCCAGGCAGCGAGGAGACGGACGTCAAGATCGAGAACGAGGACAGTACGTGCTCCGCTCTCTTCACAGCAGCTGCGCTGACACCGTGCGCAGATCATCGCGCTCAAATCGCGCTGGTCTTTTCTGCCGCTGGCGAGCGATGTGGAGGAAAAGGAGGCAGGGAGGTGTATGGTACGTGGGCCGTTGCATTGTCATGCTGCCGCTCACAGTTTCTGTAGCTGTGGTGTACCAGTGCGCACGCCGCTCTGTCTGCAGATCGTTGCTGACACGCGGCGCAGACTGTCGCGCTTGTCTTGTCTGCAGGCCCGGGCACTGCGGAGGCAGCGCAGCGGATGTCTATGGTCCGCGCCCATTCTCTGCGCAGAATCGCTGCTGGAACCGGTCGTAGATCCGCCGGCCCGTGCGTATCCGTGGTTCTACTCGTCGTGGGGACTTGAAGGGGAAGGGGAGAAGGCAGCAGAGAGTATGGAGGATTGCAGCTGGGGGAGCAAAGCGAAGGCACCGGAGGAGGCGGATGTCTAGGGTACACGCACCACACTCTGCGCAGAAGCTTCGCTGACAAGTCCTGGAGGTCCTAGTTTTCGTCGTGTCCGTGGGGGGACAGGGAGAAGGCCCGTATGCGCGCCTTTCTGCAAGATCGCCAATCCCACCCAGATCGTCGCGCACGG